TAGGTGATTCTTGGTTGTAATCCTAGCTCCTTTTCGTTCCGGAATATCATATTCCAAGCCCTCTGATCCTTTAATGTAGAAGCTGCTAAATCTTGTGTTATCTTGATTGTGGCTCCACTATACTTAAATTGTTTCTTTCTGGCTGCTTGCAATATTTTCTCCTTGACCTGGGAACTCTGGAATTTGGCTATAATATTCCTGGGAGTTTTCCTTTTGGGATCTCTTTCAGGAAGTGATTGGTGGATTCTTTCAAATTCTATTTTATCCTTTGGTTCTAGAATATCAGGGCAGTTTTCTTTGATAACTTCTTGAAAGATGATGTCCAGGCTCTTTTTTTGATCATGGCTTTCAGGTAGTCCGATAATTTTTAAGTTTTCTCTCCTGGATCTATTTTCCAGTTCAATTGTTTTTCCAATGAGATATTTCACATCGTCTTCTATTTTTTTTTTCATTCTTTTGGCTTTGTTTTATAATTTCTTGATTTCTCATAAAGTCATTAGTTTCCATTTGCTCCATTCTAATTTTAAAGGAATTATTTTCTTCAGTGAGCTTTTTGACCCCCTTTTCCATTTGGCCAATTCTGCTTTTAAAGTCATTGTTTTCCTGATTGGCTTTTTGGACTTCTTTTGCCATTTGATCTAGTCTATTTTTTTTTTAATTTTGGAGGCAATGGGGCTAAGTGACTTGCCCAGGGTCACACAGCTAGCTAATAAGTGTCTGAGGCCAGATTTGCACTCAGGTCCTCTTGACTCCAGGGCCGGTGCTCTATTCACTGCACCACCTGGCTACTCCAGGTCTATTTTTAAGGTGTTATTTTCTTCAGTATTTTTTTTGGATCTCCTTTACCAAGCTGTTTACTGAATCATGTTTCATCATTTTCTTGCATAACTCTAATTTCTCTTCCCAATTTTTCCTCTACTTCTCTTACTTGATTTTCAAAATCCTTTTTGAGCTCTTCCACGGCCTGAGACTAACTCATATTTTTCTTGGAGGCTTTGGATGTAGGAGCTTTGACTTTGTTGTCTTCTTCTGAGTGTGTGTTTTGATCTTCCTTGTCACCAAAGTAAGTTTCTATAGTCAGTTTTTTTCTGTTGTTTGCTCATTTTCTCAGGCTATTATTTGACTTTTTAACTCTTTGTTAAGGTAGGGCTCTGCTTCTAGTGTGGAGGGTGAAGTGTTCCAAGTTTTGGGGGTTTTGTGCAGCTGTTTTCAGAGATACTTCTAGGGACCTATAAGTTTTCAGTTCTTCCAAGGTGGTATGATCTAAGGAGAGGTGTTTACTCCTGTCCTGGCCTGTGCTCTGGTCTATGAGCTACCACAAGCACTCTTTTCTGCCCGGAACTGTGAGGAGGGTCCCCCCTCCACTGCTGCCACAAGCTCTGCTATACCAGTGCTTCTCCTCACCTGAGACTGTCACCCAGGGCTCCAGCCCAGATCTAAGTATGGGCAAAGCAACAGAGTCCTGCCGCAGTGCTATCAAACAAACTCCTGTAATCTCCTTCTGACTGGTTATTCAATCCCCTTACCGTCTATGGGCTGAGAGCTCTAGAAGCAGCCACTGCTGTTGCCAATTTAGTCACTCCCAAGGCCTACTTCTGGTTTGCTGGGGCCTGGTCTGGGCTGGCATGGCCTGTTCTGGACTGCACTTCTCTCTCACCCTGGTGCCTGTTGACCTTCCAGGTTGCCTTGGGCTGGAAATTTGTTTCACTCTGTCTTTTTGTGGGTTCTGCTACTCCAGAATTTTAGAGTCATTTTTTAAAGTTATTTGGAGGAGTTTGGGGGAGAGCTCAGGCAAGTCCTTGCCTTTACTCCACCATCTTGGCTATGCAGGGTAAAGGTAAATTTTTTAAAGGATTGGCATTCTTTTGGTGCTAACAGATATGTACAATAACAGCAAGAACTCAACTTTGGTATTTCTACTAGTCTTTTTGTTCTTGACCTAACTTCATTTGTATGCTAATCTAAGAACATCTGAGGAGGGAAGTAGGTTTGGTCACAACTGGCTATACACAATTTCTGTGGAGTTTTATGGGCAAAATCCCTAAAATAGGTTTTGGGGACTCAGGCTCACAATTAGGGGTTAAACAGGAAGTTACAAGTGTAACAGAGGAGTTAAATACCTCTGTTCCTCTGATGAATACAGCTCCATGCTTTGGGTTGGCCTTCCCATAAAGCAGAGAATGATGATGAATTAGAAAAGAAGGATAAGACAGGAAAGGAAAAACACAACAGGAGGAGGTACCATGTTCAAATTCAAGGACAAGGCAGCATGGAAGCAGGCTTTCCTAGCTAGGATCCAGATGCTAAATGCACATTCCTGCTCTCCCGTGAGATGCTCAAGGAGAAAAGCAGTCAGACGTCCCTGTCAATGACAAGGTAATGACTGTCCTGAGCTTCAGGAGTTACAGTTTATACTGGATCCCTAGTCCATACCCTGAGCTGTGAGAGGTCCCAGATCCCAAGCTCCCAAGTCTTCATCTAGACTGGCCCAATGCATGAGAAAAATATCAATTGCAATCCATATTGTACTGTCTACGTTCCTTTGTCCACTTACAAAAGAAGTGGCCAGAGGAACCAAGCAAATCAAATCATGCATTTCCTAGAACTCCTTGTTTCCTGTGTACCATTTGGAAACTGTTTGGCTAGGAGAGGTTTGAGAGAACAACTGAGCAAAAGACATGTGATGACATATTTTTTACTGTTTTTATTTATTCTATGCCAAGAATAATCATGTTTTAACTATTCCTATGGGAGACATTATGCCAAAGTCAAGTCATTTGGGTATGGTGAAATATAGAAATGTCAAGGAAAAAATGAGGTTCTCCAGAGGTAGGATCTTGAAGTCTGATTTTGATTGGGTAAAAACATTATAATCTACACCCCTGAGAGTGAATTGATGCTGCCATCCACAGAGAGATGGAGCTGGAGAATTGCAAAGCTACTTTTCTCTGAGAACCACAGAAATCTTGGCACTAACCCAACACTTGTGCTTATTGGAGGAACATAAACTTAGGGTAAGCATTCAACATTTTATGACCAGATCACTTTTGCTGAATATGATCATGTTAAGTGATAGCAGTGCCACCTGGTTGTTAAATGAATTATTTTTTAACCTTAAGTCAAATAATTGTCTGTGATCATGGACATTGCTCAACTCTAGAAAAAGGTCAAGTAATTCACTTACTTTTAGCTTGGGGGAATTCTGCTGGCATTTGTTGGTCATCTGGCCATTTGGATCATAGCCACAGTAGCTCTGTACCAAAAGGACATTAGCCTGTCCTATTCAAGGAAAGACTTTCTAGCCACCATTCTGTAGTAGGGATTAGGGAGTCCAATAGATTAGCAAATGGTAGTAAAGAGTAAGCTTGGTGACCGTAAGACCAGTAGAGATACCTAGCAGAGATAACGTGATGCCCAATGGAATTAACACTTGACAGTAGGAAGCACAATGACTTCATCTAAATTCACCTGCAATTTGGGGGGCATGAGTTTTCCTAGTCATACATGCAGCCTGGTCACCTGTGTCCCCTATATACGTACCCTCCACCCATGTTCTCTGGTCCTTATTTGTCTTTTTGCGTGTGTTCCTTGGTGCAGTGGATAGAGTGCTGGACCTGGAATGAGGAAAGCCCGAGTTCATGTCCAGCCACAGTTACTAGCTGTGTGCCACTCGATATATCACTTAACCTCTGCCTACCTCTGTTTTCTCATATGTAAAGTGGGAATAATAATTGCACCTATCGCTCAGGGTTGCTATGAGGATGAAATAATATTTGAAAAGTGTTGTGCAAACCTTAAATCATTACATAAATGATGGTTTCGTTATTATCATCATTATTATACATAACTGAATTCTAGGTGTGTTCCCTAGTCAGTGTTCTTTACAACTGACTTCCCCATTGGTTGTAGAGTAACCTGTGGCAGAGTGTACCGCATGTGTGCATGGTAGAATCTTTTCTTGTCACTTTATTTGCTATGCTATTTATAAATACATTTTGTTTTGAACTCATTTGCCCTCTAGCTGGCTAGTAAAAGCAAACTCATTGGTAGGGGCTTGTCAGTTATGGATTTGTATGAATGCTGACCCATAGAACTCCTTGAATCTGGGGTTATTTTTCTGGGGATCTGCATGTAGGGAGGCAGGAGGCTACCCATGTTTTGTTTTGTTTTTGTTACTGTGGAGTTACCTTGGGAAAAAAAGTTTTTTAAAACTAGAAACCAAACACAGAACAAATCAGAATATTTATTTTCAAATATCTGACTTGTATTAAAGAACATAGTAATATCTGACAAGTTTACTGACTGTTGTAAAATGAAAGACAACTTCATTCTTGTTTCTAATGAATAAATTATAATGGGAGAAATAACCTTTTATGATAGTCACCTTAGCAAGCTAAGTCTTTCATTCCAGGGAAGCATCATAGAATTCACTTAAATTCAATTCAACAAGCATTTATTAGCACCTACTATGTCCCAGGGGCTGTGTCAGTTGCTAGGGATACAAAGACAAAAACCAAAATTGTCCTCAAGGAACTTATATTCTGTTAAGAGGAAACAACATGTATACAGAAAATTAAGTACAAAATGTATACAAAGGTGTTTTCTTTTTCTAAATAGTATTTTATTTTTTTCCAATTCATTCATTTTTACAAAGTTTTGAGGTTCAAATTTTCTCCCTCCTTCCATCTCTCCCCCCTTCCTAAAATGGTAAACAATTTGATATAAGCGATATATGTGCAATCATGTCAAAAGTATTTCCATATCAGTCATGTTGTGAAAGAAGAAACAGATCAAAAGGCACCCCACCCTCCCCCCCAAAAAAGTGAAAGTGGTATGCTTTGATCTGCATTTAGAGTCCATCAGTTCTTTCTTTCTTTGGAGGCAAATATTTTCCATCATGAGACCTTTGGAATTGTCTTGGGTCACTGTATTGCTGAGAGGAATAAGTCATTCATAGTTGATCATCACACAATGTTGCTGTTACTGTGTACAATGTTCTTCTGGTTTTGCTCATTTCATTTTGCATCAGTTCATCTAAGTACAAGTAAGTACAAAAGTATTTTCTTAATGGTGGAGAGGCACTAGCAGCTGGGGGCATAGAAAAGGTCTCATGTAGGGGAGCATTTGGGTTGAGCTTTGAAGGAAGCTGGAAGTGAAAAGGGAACGCATTTCAGGCATGGGGATATTAGTCTATGTAAAAGCATGGAGACAGAAGATAAAATGTTATATAGTTGTCTGTAAGTAAGTCAGCTGGGCTGGAATGTAGAGTGTATTAAGGAGAGTGATGGGAAATAAGCCTAGAAAAACAGACTGGAGACAGATTGTATAGAGTTTTAAAAGCTAAACAGAGGAGTTTATATTTTCTCCTAGAGACAAGAGAGAAACACAGGAACCTCTTGAGTAAGGGAGCAATATGGTTAGACCTGGGCTATCAATGTGGCAGCTGTGTAAAGAAATGATCAGAAAGGGGAGCATTAAAGACAGGGAGAAGGATTAGGAAACTATTGCAGGTCAGTCAATCAGTCAATCTATAAACATTCAATTAAGCACCTGCCACGTGCCAGGCCCTTTGCTAGATGCTTGAGATACATAGACAAAAATGAAATGTCTCTCGCCTCAAGGAATTTTCATTTTATGCAGAGAAACAACATATGTACATATAAATATAGACCATATATAAAATGTGTGTGCATATATATGTATTGTGGATATGTATCTACATATACACAATATATACACACATATAGACATATGTACATGCATATGTACATGTATGTATGTGTATATCTATATCTATATCTATATCTGAGCTTTGAGCTTTGAAAGAAGCTAGGGATTTAACCAGGTAAAGTGAGGAAGAAGTCCATTCGAGGCATAATGAGCAGCCTATGCAAAGGCATGCTGAGGGGAGATGGAGTGTCCCATGTGAGGAACAGCAAGAAAGCCAGTTTGAATGGGCTACAGAGTATATGAAAGAGAGTAATGAATCAGTAGGTTGAAGTCAGTTTATAAAGGGCTTTAAATGTTAAACAGAGGAATTTATATTTGATCTTAGAGGCAAATGAATTTAGCAACTGACATGAAGCCCCAACTATGTGTCGGTAACTATGCTACATGTGGGGGATTCTAGGACAAAAATAAACCTGACCTCAAGGGGCTTCTATTCTATTGAGGCAATAGAGAAATACTGGAATTTATTGAGCAGGGGAGTGACAGGGTCAGACCTACACCTTAGGTATATCCCTTTGGCAGCTGTGTGCAGGATTGGTTGGAAAAGAAAAACTTGAGGCAGAGAGAATACTTAGAAGACTACTGCAGAAGCCTAAGAAAGAGGTGATAAGGACCCAAATTATGATGACTGATTGCAGACTGCAGAGAGATGGGAACTAAAATGTGATATGTTGGGAGGGAGGTAGAATTAACAAAATTTGAGGACTGATTAAATGTGTGTGGTAGGAACAGTGAGGAGTTGAGAATGGTTCTGAGATAGTGAACCTGGCTGACCCAGGTCTTTACTCAGTAAAGTGGCAGTCACTGATCCTTACCCAAGTGCCCTTTTCTAGAACACTGGACTTGGAGTCAGGAAGACTTGAGTTCAAAGCCAGCCTCAGACGCTTACTAGCTATATGATCCTGAGCAAGTCACTTAGCCTCTCTCTGCCTCAGTTTCCTCATTTGTAAAATGGTGATAACAACAGTACTTGCCTCTCAGGGTTATTGCGAAGATAAAATGAGATACCTGTAAATCGATTTGCAAACCTTAAAGTGCTATGCAAATGCTAATTATTATTATTATTATTATTAGTAACAATAATTACACTATGGCCTTGAGGGGACTAATGTTTTGCTTACCACAGCTAAAAAAGTATTCATATGGAAGGAAGTTACACAATTTCCATAATTTCCTTGCAAGCTCAATTTTCCAAATTTTTTAACCTTCTTAGGCACTCCCAGTCTTTGAAAGCATTCATTCAATACTATTATGAATCTCCTTAAATTTAATCAATGGCTTTTTTTTTCCCAGTAGGCTAAAAAACAAAACAACAACAAAACTGTGAGCTGGGGCAACCCTGAACAAGGAATGTTAAAACACAGACACACACAGACACAGACAGACACATACACAGACACAGACACAGCCACACAGACACACTGACACACCTGAGCTGAGCTGGGGCAGACCTGAACAAGGGACGACACTTCCTGGTACGATCAGGGAGTCCTTGCTGCAAGTACAAAGCCGGTCAAATCGCTACAGCTCCCCGGAGGTGGGGTAGAGAGGGAGCTCTAGCCGAGACAGGATACAAGCAGTCCAGTCCTGCCTACATCGCCCACACAGTGTGGCCACTTATTTAAGCCATAGAGTCCCGGGGGCGGTGGGAGGGCTTTATTACCAGCTCCTGGCTTCCTACTTTTGACCCAAACCTGACCAAGATCTGGGCATGCCCAGTCAGCCTTCTAAAGCCTATCGGAATTTTCAATGAATTGAATCCACTTCTCCGGGACTTCGTGGCGACCGGGAAAGGAGGAGGCACCCAGAAGGCGAGATTGGCAGGTTGGTGGTGGGATGCTGGGTGCTTAGCCTGGAGAGCCGGACCGACAGGACCAGGGGACAATGGGGGGGGGGGGCTTAAATAGATGGGAGTTTTCTGCAGTAAAGGAGACACGCTACCCAAGGGGAATGTTCCAGGGCACATTTCGGGCTTTGAGGTGCTTTGCATAGAAGCAAGACCTTTACTCTGAAAAGCAGTTCCCAAGACCGGCCCCGGGCTAACAAAAGGGTGCATACCTCTTTGTTTCTGAGCTGGAGTGGGGGCTACGGGTGGGGAGCTATAGATACATCCCACCTTCCCTGACCGGAACTAGAGCGGGGGGAAAAAAAGCCAGGTTTTTCCGTCCATGCCTGTCACGCCCCTCCAGCCTCCTCTCTTTCCCCGGCTCTCCCCGAACCCAGCCCCTCTCGGCAGGAGAGAGGTTGGAGTCCGAGGCGTGGGCCCCCTCCTCCCCGGCCTTCCCCTCCCCTCGGTGGCTGCGAAAACTGGGAGAAGTGGAGCGGCATACCGTGCGATGTCTCCTCGGTCACTCGCGGTGGCACTGAGCATGCTCAGCAGCCTGGGCAGGTTCGGGCTATAAGTAGGAAGCCTTTGGCGCTCCCGGGACACCCTCCCCACCTGGGCAGCCGGCTGCGCCCGGATGGGCCAGGTGAGTGAGCCCGGGGGGCAGAGGAGGCTCGTCTCCACCCGCCGCCGGCTTGGAGACTCGCGCTCTGCAGCCTCCGGTCCTCTCCTTCCCAGTCCCAGCCCTCCACCTCCCCTGCGCCGCGCCCCCGGGGTAGGGACCGGGGTCTGCGGGGGGCTGGGCTGGGTAGTGCCGGCCTGGGCTGGGCCAGCGCGGGGGGCAGCTCCGGGCTTGCGCTTCGGTCCGCTCTGCCCCGGTGCGTGCGCCCGGGCGCAAAGTTCTTTGGCCGGGGAGCCCAGACGGGAGGTTGGTTTGCAGCTGCAAAGCGCTAAGCAGGGGTGTCTCATCTCGGGGGGAGGGGGGGAGAAGGAGGAGCCAGTGAAAGTTCTGGATGTGAGTTTGGAGTGTGTGACACCCTTGTTTTTCTTGGTCACTAAGGGCTCCCCTTCCCCCCCTCCCCCTTTTTCTGTCTCCTCCCCCCCTCCGCCCACTCTCATGAACTTTACCTGCTTGGAAAGTTGGGCCCTGTGGTTTTTGCAACTAGGAGGGAAATCCTAGAGCGGCAGCTATGTGCGGTTGTTTTCTGGCCCTGGTAAGAACTGACGGAGTGGATTTGGGGGTGGGGTGAGGTGGGAGTGGTAGTGGAAGTCATTAACTTTGGTGTGCTGAAAGGTGTAAATTCAGGAAGTGGAAACTCTATGGAGCAGAGTTCAGATTAAGGTGTGTGTTTTTGTTAATTATTTGGCCCTGTTGGTGCGTCCTTTACCAACTGGAACTGATTGGTTTTCATAATTAAGTTACTTGTTTCACCAGTATTCAGGGCGTCTCAAAAGACTGAATACAGTAAAGCTTAGAACTGCACTCGGTCAGCCTTTTGGGATATCCTGCATGGAAGAAGGGTGGGGGTAAAGGCTGGGTACCGTGCAAGAGAGGATGTACAGAGACAGATACTTAACTTCAGCAAGCAGTTTACTAAGCATGTATTTTGTAACAGAGGCTTGAGCTACAGCTAGAACACCTGGATTCAAGACTGGCTTCTAACTTGTGTGTGACCCTGGGCATATCACTTAACCCTTCGGTGCTCTGGGCCCTAGAGCGCAGGGCATCAAACTACTAACTTGACTAGAAGGTGCCGTACCTGCATTGATACAAAGAGTTCTTTCACCCGGGAGCTTCCTTTAGCAATAAAAACACAGCTTCAGCCCCTCATCCCCAGATGCCTGGTACTTTGGCTTCAAAGACAAAAGCAAAAAGTGCCTTCCTGTCCTCAAAGGGGGTTATGATCTATTGAAAAGTGAAAAACATGTACCCAGAAAAATAGATGTGAAACACAAAGTAATTTCTGGGGGGTGAAGTTAGAGACAGAACTGGGGGAATCCGGAAAGGTTTCTTGGAGGAGGTGGTACTTCCAGGAATTAAGGACATTTTTTTGGATTGCAGGTTTTTTAGGGGTTAGGAAAGGAGACTTCTAATTGTAATGAAATAGTGAATAAAACAATACCTCACCTGCCAATCACCCTATTCCCTTTAAAAATGCTATTTTGTGGTCACTTGTAGTTTAAACATTCTTCCCATTTCAGGAAGTTAGGGAAGTTTGTTAAGTAATAACCTCACCACGCCACAAACATCTCTCATGGGCAAAATATATGAAGATTCATGTTATGGCTCTGAGCGAGCCCTTATTTAGGGACGGCTAGGTGGCGCTGTGGATAGAGCCCTGGGTCTGGAGTCGGGAAGACTCACCTTTGTGAGTTCAAATCCAGCTTAAGACACTTAATAGCTGTGTGATTCTGGGCAAGACAATTAACCTTGTTTGCCTCACTTTCCTCATCTGTAAAATGAGCTGAAGAAGGAAGTGGCAAATTCCTAGTGTCTTGCCAAGAAACTCTGAATGGGGTCCAGATGCGTCTGACACAACTGAAAACCTTTATTTTGGAAGTTAGCTCCTAGAATCTTAGCATTTTGGAGCAGAAAAGGATCTTAGAGATAATTTGACCCAACTGCCTCATTTTACAGATGAGTCTTGAAACTAGTTAGTGACGGCACCAGGACTAGAAGTTGGATCTCCTAACTCTCAGGATATCATTATCATCATCAGTGATAACTTACTAGTATGCGTAGTGCTCTGAGGTTTTCAGAATTCTTAATATACATTATCTTGCTTGAATGTCACAGTCTTATGAGGTAGATACTACAGATTGTATCTGTATCAGTTCATTTAAATCTTTCCATGTATCTCTAAATTCATTTTTTTCCTGCAGAGTAATTTTCTACTACATTAATACATCACAGTTTTTTCAACTGTTCTCCCACACTTTTTTTCCTAGACTCTATACATTTGTATTTTATAATTGTTTGATCTCCCTGCTAGGCTCTAATAACAGCTACATTTAGATAATTCTTTAAGGTGTACCAAGTGGTCTGCTTTACATATTTAGGATGTCTGAAAAGTCTTAGTTCAGTTTTACGCTTTAGTAGTCCATAAAAATGTTTGGAGTCAGGAGAGAGAGTGCCTTGGTCCGAGGTATAGCAAGGAGGCCATTGTTAATAGATTGAAGAGTCCATGGAGGTGAATAAAGTGCAAGAAGACTGGAGAGGTGGGGTGAGGTTATAAAGTTTTAAGCTTTAGTAACTTAAAACCTCACCAAGACTTTAGGGATACCCCTTATTATCTCATTTGATCTATGTAGGCCATGAAGGAATAGACTGGACCTTAGCACAACTTTTTATTTCTCATAGTATCCTGTAAAGGGTTCTGCCACATCGGGTAATTAATAAGTGCTAATTAATGAAAAATACTTAACACTAAAATGATATTGAACGTAATTTAGAAGTAGTCCTGAAAGGAATTTAGACTGCCGCCTCTGTGAAGCTCAGAATGGAACTAATGAGATGCCAAGGTTACTCTTTAGAGGGGGCAAAGCTGCTTCATCTTCTAAACAAAGTACTCTAGGTCATTTTAACTTTATAACTCTTTTATCCCAAATCAAGTCTTTCTACTTTCGCCTTCATGATCTCTTCCTCTGTTACAATGTTATCCCTTCTCACTTTTCATGGGGTAACTGAGATATAGAGTTAAGTTAATCCCATAGGGATTGGCATACCAGGTAGAGCCAAAGTTATTGAGGAAATGAAGGTACCCAAAGGTACATAAGCAGTAGGACAATGCTGACCTGATGCTGAGCCAATGAGTGAGGAGTAGTATAGCCTTAGGACTCTTTGTAACTCATACCTCCCCCTGGCAGCAGCAGGATTGGTTTTAGCGGGGCGGTTAGGTGACTCTAGTTATAAAGATTAGGGGTCTATAGACAAAGCAGTATTGATTGGTCTCTTGGCTTTGGATCATATATTTTGTATTCCTGTCCCTTGAATCCCGGGTCTTGCTCCCACGTACTGACACCTGACCTTTGCCTCATTCTGGCTAGCTAGTTTGCTTGAACTCCCAGGCCAGCCAACTGGTCATTATTCCATCTGTCTTGTTTCCTCTTCTTCCAGAGTTTCTTTGGCAGGATGTGAGGGTAGACCCACTTTTATTCATGGGCTTTCTCACTCTTCTTCCTTCTCCTTCCCTATTCCCCTATCCCCTCCCTCCTCAATGCATACATTGCTGATCAGTGTTCTTATCATAACAGCAATCAGTTCTAGGCCTAGGTAGAATTTGTTATTTTTGCTTACTTGCCAAGAGTTCTTACTGACATGAGTTGAGGCACACCCTGGGTTAGGGCAGTGTCCTTGGCATTCTTTTATTCAGATGCTGGCAATTTATGTGTTCTTTCAAATGTATCCTTTTGATTCAATTGGGTAGGACATGGAGGGAGACTTTGGGTAGGTCCGTGCCTTAAAAGAAATCTTGTAAATTGTCTCCAAACCATAAAGGAGAAATTTTCTTCATAGAGCTATTGGTTTGCATTATAGTAGAAGGGAACGTAGAATGAGAAGGGATTTTGAAGATCATCTGATTCAAACTTTATGGAATTCCACTGGTTGGATCAGTTCACAATTCCACCAACAATGAATTAGTGTCCCAATTTTTCCACATGCCCTCTAGCATCTGTCACTTTCCCCTTCTATCATTTTAGCCAATCTGGTAGGCATAAAATGATATCTCAAGGTTGTTTTAATTTGCATATCTCTAATCCATAATGATCTAAAACATTTTTCATACGACCATAAAATTGTTTTGATTTCTTCATTAGAAAACTGCCTATCCATATCCTTTGATGATTTATCACTTGGGGAATGACTTACGTTCTTACAGATTTGACAAGGTTCTTTACATATTTTAGATATAAGACCTTTAAACTATCTATAAAATTTTCCCCCAATTTTCTGCTTTCCTTCTGATCTTGATTACATTTGTTTTATTTTTACAAAACCTTTTTAAATTAGTGTAATCAAAATTATCCATTTTACACCAGACTTTGCTCTCTGTCTCTTGTTTATTCTTAAATTGTTCACCTATCCATA